GAGAATACCGCCAGTGCGGGTTCGATTCCGGAATGAATTGTGTTGCGTAGATATCAGAGGAATATCTTTATCTATACATCCCTGGCACTATAAAGAGAATCAACCCTTATAGAAGCTGTTATGTTTCAACTAAGATCAACAACAGTAACACTGTGATGACACGTTTGGCTCAATTTGTAGTGGCCCTACTTGCTGCGCCAGCGGTCGCGAGTTCGAGTCCCGCTGGGGGCATTCATTTGTGTGATGAGCACGAATATATGTACTCCAGTCATGGGTGTTTATATTTATAATATGTACGTATTTAAAGATATATATGAATAATGTATCAACTATCTGGTATCCATATCACAATCCTCGTAGCTTACCATGGCTATGGCATGGCTGGCACTAGACGGCGTTGTGTGTTAATATTCTGACATATTTATTTATTTTATTATTCATAATGTAATACCTGTGTAACTAAGTGGCTTATACAGTTTCTAAATGAAAGATCAAGGATGTGTCAACGATATGTTCAAGCACCGTCTCTTTCAGATTAGACCAAGGTACAGTGCCAAGTATTACTTTGTATGATGATTCTGTTCAATTATATCACTTCGTTATTTTTTTTTGTATTGGCATCAGCTTCATCAGCCTTTAGCATGTCCATCAGGACAACAGTCTTAAGCCGTATACTTGTACAAATAAAACAATAATGTATCAATATTAATTAATTTTATAGTTTAACATATTCAGATATGTTTAAATAATAGACTAGAACTAAAGTGTATTTCTAAAAGGCAACACAATGTCAAATATTTGTCCAGTAAAAAAGAAGTGATATCTTTTAGCGATAAGGCCGCCTGTTGTACCTTGAAACCTTCTCCTATAATATGTATTTCTTTTCTCTTTTTGGGTGTACAATAAAAAGTTATTTATCTTTATCTTTTAAAGAATAAATAAAGAATAAGTAGAAGAAAAATATTAATAATACTTCAGAAAGATTTAGCAATCTATCATCTTATTTGTTTTATTTGATTCCAAAATTTCCTGTTACGTACTAAACCTTCACCTAGCTATAACATATCTAAGTACGTAAGGTAATAGAGTATTGGCGCAGCTCCCACACGTCTGTGTCGGACATGACGTTGCGTCGATCGTCTGTCTCAACGACAAATCGCTAACGTTTTATCTCCTTTATTAAATCTATACATATAATAAAATTGTAACTAAGCCGAATCTGTACATTAAATATTTTTTGGAAAATAAAATTGAAATAGACATTATTATCGATACAGACGCCGAATCTATAGTTTTTGGAATTTTTGTCTGTTTGTCTGCCTGTTACCGCATCACAGAAAAACCACTGGAGGGATTTTGATGAAATTTAGTACGGTGATAGCTGGTTATCCAGGTCAACATATAGGATACTTTTTACCGCGGGAAAATATCTCATTACTGAGAAAAAATACATAAACTGCAATGTAAGAGTTTATTAATATGTCAAACCTAAGAATTTGGTTTTTGGTAATCTGAACGCGGGCGGAGCCGCGGGCAATGCTAGTTGTAAATAAATGTTAATGTAATATGTACCTGAATTTATCAAAACTGTCATACGGAGAGACGGACATGGTGAAATTATAAGGGTTAAAAAACCATTTGGCTACGGAACTCTAAAAGTGGAAGCTTTTGTTATCTTAAAAACTAAAAATATCATCTTTACCGATGTTGCGGATGTTTGTGGCAAAATGTGTGAGTTGAAGAAAACACGGAAAATTATTTTGTTTGTTAAGTTATAAAATAAATAAGAATAAGAACGCGTTTACGTACCTTTTAGTTAGTTATCTTTCTTTTCATATTCTATATAGAATAATATTATTATTGTAAATAAAAATAAATAAGAATAAAAAAATGGGTTCGTATAGTAATCTTTACGCACGGTTAAACTTCTTTGGCCAAATATCACAATTTTAATTAAAACAAATCTATAATTAAACAAGGCATATTACAATCAAATATTTATAAAGTATCATAGACGGAAAAAAATTATTTTATTACATATTATCATTTATCAGACAATAACAACGGTTACCATGGCAATAATTAGTCATAATAACTTTTATTTATTTTATGCACATTCATCCTACAGTATTATAAATATTCATTTTTTTTAACCGACTTCCAAAATGGAGGAGGTTCTCTTTTCGTCGGAATCTTTTTTTATGTATGTTCACCGAATACTCGAAGGCGCCTGAACCGATTTGGAAATTTATTTTTTTGTTTCAAAGGGTACACTTCCCAGGTAGTCCCATATAAATTTTATCGAAATCGGTTGAGCGGTTTTTAAAAAAATCAACAATATTTTTTTTTAAATAACTTGCTTAATCGAATATGTTTAAAAAAACCGACTTCCAGGCACTAAAATGTAAAAAATAACTAAACGGGGGTTTTCATTTAGAATAGAATAAATAGATACCTAATCAGATATTTTCGAAGTCGGTGCCAGCCGATGCAAAGCAAATCTAATATATTTTAAATAACATAAAACTAATAGCTTAAAAGATTGAAATATGTAATATATACAAATAATTAATATTATTTTTATATACCACATAAAAGTTACGCCACATTCAAAAGGAATATAATCATTTCAAAATAATATTTGCTATGAAATATTATAAATTAAAATGAAATTATTGGACGTGGCATATTCGTGGAACGATTTTCTGCAAATTAGCAGCGCTTTTGATGCCAAAAGTCTTGCCAAATAGAAATAGATGTACTTGTTATCTTGAATTTTCAAGGGCTATTTAGTGAAGCATGTTTTGCTATAAACAACGTTTTTACTAATTACCAATAAATTAAATAATAATATAATTTCTATAAAATACCAGCAGAATTTATAAACCATTTTTTCCAGCTGTGGGATATTTATGTATCTCCTATATAGTTTACTAGCGCCTTACCCACGCTTCGCTTGGATGCGTCCCTAGATAGGAGGATTTTGCTTACACTTTCATGGGTTTTCATTTTTTGCGCGGAATCCTTTTTCATTTTCTAAAAAAATAACCTTAGTTACTCCTCAAAACATCAGTTATATGCGGCTTTGCCAGTGAAAGTCCCTTGAAAATGTGAAAAAAATTGTTTCATTTTGTAAGCCTTGACATGTTATGATTGGGGTTCTGTAGCCAAATAGGCTAAACCACTCATAATTTTGCCATGTCCGTCTGTCCGTATGTCACACACATCTTACTCGAAGACTATTGGAGCTACATTGCTAAAATTTAGTAGATACGTGTCGCATATAAACCGCAAAACAATGCGGTAGTCAAATTAAACAGTGGAATTGTACACCATAGATATAACAGTGTTGGAAAATGAAATTTTTTGCGTCGCCTAAAATCTTCTCTTTCTCAATCTTCATATCTTCTTTCACAAAGTATGGGTCGAAAAATTGTTAAAGAAAAAATATTTAAGATGTATAATATATATATATTAATATACTCAACTGGATTAGCTGGGACGATCAAGTAATCACATACACAGACTTACTTTCAGATGCACTATTAAAAATAAATAATAATATATATTAATCTATACATATAATAAAATTCTGAGTCGAATCTGTACATTAAATATTTTTTTGGAAAATCTTATTGAAATAGACATTATAATCGATACAGAGGCCGAATCTATAGTTATTAGAATTTTTGTCTGTCTGTCTGTTACCGCATCACGAGAAAACCACTGGACAGATCTTGATGAAATTTGGTATGATAATAGCTGGTTGTCCGGGTCAAAATATAGGGTACTTTTTACTGCGGAAAAATATCTCATCTTTGAGAAATCTATACTAAACGTTAAAACGTAAACTTACAGACTTTTTGTTTTACTTTTTCTTATATAATTGGTTATTATTATTATTCTGCTATTATATATCGCAATGTTTACGCACTGAATAATTTAAAACGAATAAAGAAAACTAGAAAGCTTCACGCTGCCCCCAATAGAGTGAAAGCAATCAATCAGGACTTGAATCGGTGTTCAGTGCCAAAACTGCCAACATTTGATGCCAGGAGGCGCTGACATGCCACTGTCTGGCGCACAAACTGTTCAATTATTATTTGGATTATTTTAATTGGCTTACAATTAGCTATTGTTCGAGCGATAATCGTGACCTACATACGAGTTTTGAAAGCTTTTAAGCGTCTTCCTAATACTCTTTCTTATTTTTCTTCTGATAATACAAGAATACTTAGGTATTTTGAAGAAACCAGCCAATTTTACTATGTATGTATAATATTAGCTGTATATGAAATATACAAGAAATTACACATGATGTTTATGATACAACAAAATTAGGTACGAAGCATCACAAAGATTTATTTTCACTTCACCCTTTTATTGCATTAACAGGTTTTTAGAGATATTAAAAAAGCAGTAAACTTAAACATATTAATCATTACATACATCTATTTCATATCTATACATATAATAAAATAGTAACTGATCGATGTCTGTGCATGGAAGATATGAGAAAAACTATTATTGGCGCAATATAACCCAAAACAATGATTTTTAGAATTTTTGTCTGTTTGTGTGTGCGTTTGTGCGCGCTAATCTCAGAAACGGCTTAACCGACTTGATAATAGGTACTTAAAATTTGGTATTTGTTTTATTTCAATCCGTTCATAAATAAAAAAGTTATGTCGATTTAAAGAATCACCTAGGAACGAACCCGAGCGAAGCGAGAGTGAGTCGCTAGTATATTAATATAATTAAAAGAAAAATAAATACAAGATGTGTATTGTATGTAAGTCCGAAGAAAAATATTGAGGATGTATATATGAAAGTAATGTATTACCTACCATGAAATAAACAGTGAAGTCACAGCCATTAAGATAAAAGTAAACTAAATCTCCCCGTTATAATACGAGTATTATTGATAAGCAAATTAAATATTTTCAGCAAGTGTTTTCAAATTTTTATTGCATAAACTTTTGCTTTCATTGTTTACATACCTTTTTCTTATGAGACTTTTTGTTCATGATGGATCGGTGTTCAGATCTGAAACAAAGATATTTTTAACTTCAAAGTCGGATGGAAGCAACAAACACACGTCTATATCTGTATTTTCTATATATATATATATATATATATATATATATATATATATATATATATATATCTATACTTATTATAAAAATAAGTCCCCCGGCCGCGTCTTTCTGTCCTCCTGTCTGTCCTCCTGTCTGTCCTCCTGTCTGTCTGAACGCGATAAACTCGAAAACTACTGAACGGATTTTTATACGGTTTTCAACAATAGAAAGAGTAATTCTTGAGGAAGGTTTAGGTATATAATTTATTATGCTTTTATGTAAATTAGCTGAAATACGGCGACAAATGTTGAAGAGGTCGCAAAAAATCTCGCCAAATGGGAACTTTCCACGCGAACGCCGCGTAAACTAGCAAAGATACAGTTAAGTAATGTACTAGAGAATTCAAAATCTATAAAAATGCTACAAAAAAGTCCGCGATAGCATATCTCTATCTCTTACGGTTGACTTACAATAACCACTTTTATGTTAACATTTTTAATTAAAAACATTACGTTATTTTCAAAGTTATTTTCTTTAGTTCGGTATTAATCCTTATCCAAATGAATATTTTAGTTAGCTTAGTCATTTAATGCAGATTAAAATTGCTCTTTACACTAAATCAATCAGATGAATAGTTTTTGAGATATCGTTGTTAGAAGTAATTAGTAGCGAAACATTTTTAATGCTTGGCGAGCATTGAGATGCCTACGGCGAGTCCATCCCCTCTGCCCCGCATCGCTCGACCGCCTGCTCAAGCTATATAAACCGGGCGATGTAGCGCGCGATCCTAGGATACTTTTTACCGCGGGAAAATATCTTATTTCTGAGGAAAAATACAAAAACTGCAATGTAAGAGTATACTAATATGTAACACCTAAGAATTTAGTTTTTGGTCATCTGAACGCGGGCGGAGCCGCGGGCAATGCTAGTATATATATATATATATATATATATTAGCTTTTTTCTAATTTCACTTATTACTTAGGAATGCATAAAAGTATAATGAATTAGAATTATCTTATACTCTACATTTTAAATAAACAACATATTTTGGATTAGCTTTACAATGCATAATATAATACACAGTTAATTATAACAGTACATAGTTAAGACGAAATTCAGCCTAAATAAAAACTATAAAAACCGACTTAAAACAATAAAAAGTAAAAAATAGCTGATTAGTAGTTTTTTTCTTTTACTAAAGATACCTAATCAGATATTTTCGAAGTCAGTGTGCTTTGATTTCTATCGCCTGACACCGATTTAGAAAATATCAGATTAGGTGTCTATAGTAAATGAAAACCCCCGTTCAGTTATTTTTTACTTTTTTTTGTGTTTTTTTATCAAAGTCGGTTTTTGTTTATTTTTTATTTTCTTTTATTTTCCATTTGCGAGCATACTATATACTAGTAGCAAGATAAGAAGAAAGTATTTTAATAATTCAGTAGATTTTCTATAGTTAGGGGTGGACTTTTTTTTCAAATTTAAATGGGACAACCTTTGAGTTATAACTACATCTTTAATAAAATCATCAAAATCGGACTATACTGTAAAACTTATGCCTCGTATACAACAACATTTAAAAACATCAAACATAAAAAACAATACGTATCGAATTACTCCTTTTTTCAATTCAATTCGAGTCAATTCAATTAGTTTGGTGGCTTCTAGGATTGTCTTTGGGCACAATTTACTTCGCCAATGTCGCGTAGAATGGAGAAGGCTCCTTTTTTTCATCGGCTACAGTTTCATTTCAAACCTATGTACTACATCAATAGTCTTTGTAAAACCACTGGCGACCGTTATGAAGTAGTCACGCTATACAAATAAATGAATTTATTTTAAGTCGGGTTTTGTTTGACTCCACAATCCGGGATTTTGGGTGTTTTAATTAAACATGGCGTCGACTAAAAACTGGGCCAATTGCGAAACGCAAGATGAAGAATTGTGGCATAAACAAATTTGAATGAGCCCATCTGTTCATTTGTAGAGACTAGAGACGTTTTATCTAGTTATTTCCTGCTTTTTTTTGATATAGAAAAGATTTATAGCGTATTGTCTTTAATATTTTCCACAAAAGATTTTTTTTATTATTAAACATCTATGAATGTTTTTTTTATTATTATCCTATTAAATTTGAGTTGTATTTCTTCTAGTAATTCTTTCTACTGTTTACAAAATAATAAAATTCATTCCTTCTACTGCAGATAATAGAACACAGTATCTAAACACAGTACAGTTTTCAGTGCTGTAATGATTCAATTATCAAATTGTATACTATAACTAGCGACTAGTCCGTATTCGTTCGTACTTCGTAAGTGCGTTTCAACGGTTAGTATGGAATAGATAGTCGATCCCTTGCTTTGTGAAAAACAACAACAAATCTATCCCACGGGAGCCGTACATTTTTCCGGGATAAAAAGTCACCTATGTACTATTCCAGACTATAATCTATCTCTTTTACCAAATTTCATCCAGATCCGTTTAACCGTTCTGGCGTGATTGAGTAATAAACATCCATCCATCCAAATATTCGCATTTATAATAATAAATAATGGGATTATTTTATTAAAAAGTAACCAAACTTTACTTAAGGCATAGAAGAGCTTGTGTATATTTTAAATGATGTAAAGTTGCATAAAGCTTAATACTTACTTAGATTTACGCGAATATGTGAAATTTTAAATAAAACTATCTTTTCGGATTTTTTCGCGGATTATTAAAAAAAAATTGTAAGGTAATTGGTGCAATTTTCATTTTATTATTTGTGAGTAGGCTGTCTGTAACAACTATACCTTCGAGATATCTAACACCTCAGTCTCTCCCGTAACCATGATTGCTGTAAAGCATTCGAAACGTCGGGAACCAAAAATCCGAATAAATCCGCGAAAAAATCCGAAAAGATAGTTTTATTAAAAATTTCATAAAGCTTATTCATATGTAGGATTTCTAACTCGGGGCGGCTCAAATGGCAATATCGATTGTTTTGACGGCGAAAAACGGCCCCGGTTGTGCCATATCGCACATCAGTTTATTTACATATTGGCAACTATTCAAAGCAGAGTTTGATGTGAATTATCTGCGTTGCTAAGCTACGATAACATGTTCCCAAGATTTCGTGAGATCTATTAAGAAATATGAAAATAGAACATAGTGCAATCATACAGGGTTTCTAGGTAACGATCAAATAAAGTACTACCCACATATAATATATGTATGTCTATATAAACTAGATATTTTACCCGCAAATCGACTCGCATAATATATTTATATCATTGATAAGTACGGTTCATAGCATTTTGCTAAATACATAAAACATAAATAAAATAAAATAAGTAAAAGAATTGAAAAAAAAATCTATACAGATAAATAAAATTGAAGTGTCTGTTTGTAATGTCAAAGTAACAGCTTTTTACTAAATGCGCATGAAAGTATGTACGATACTTATGAGAAAACGACATTTTTTAAATTTTTTGTCTGTCTGCTTGCCTGTTTGTGCAATCTCTGAAACGGCTGGACCGATTTTGACGAGACTTTCACTGGCAGATAACTAATATTTATAAGGAGTAACTTAGGCTACGTTGTATTTTGGAAAAAACAGGGTACCACTCAAAAAAGTTAAAACCGATGAAATTGTGACTGTAATCCATGTACCGAGGGACGCACCCGAGCGAAGCGAGGGTAAATCGCTAGTTTGGCATAAATCTATATGACTAGCGCTTTCAATCAAACAAAAACACAAATTCTTTTCAGATGTATAACATTAGTACAAGTAGAATATTTGATAAACGTTTTCTGAAAGTGTTAGTACATACTAATCGTGATAAATGTTCAAAAATGGACATTTAGCAATTAAAAGAAATTTCTCCTTCCCAACATTAATATATGTTAATAAAACAGTTTTAAAAGAAACTAGTGGCACACCCATATACCTATGCTTGACGAATTTCTAAGTAAGTTTTCACGAGATGCGCCAAATAAATGTACGGGAATGAAAAACCTACTGTTACTCTCTGGCACAAAAAGTACCTTTGCTCATATATCAGGTACCTATATGTAAGTAAAATATCAAATCGATTTAATTAATTGATGAGTATGAAACACAACCCGACAAAGCACGGTAACAGATATTAGTTTCATAATGAATAAAACAAATACTGAAATTATTAAAGATCGAATTTGATTAAAACATTTGTTATTGGTATAGTAAGTGCCAATTGAACTTATGTTCCATACCGTAATTTGAAAAAATATATTGCTTTTTATGAGAATTGTAACATCATTTATAATTTAGGTACAAATTAATTAAATTTTATAAATTTGATCATGAAATGCACACGAGTGGGCGCGAAACATTAATTATTTTGACTAAAACTTATGATGCAGTTTAAATCCCGGATGTTCAAATTGCACAAGGATCAACTCACTTCTAAAATCACCTCCGCTTATAATTTTTCTGAGAACAAGCCCTGTTATATTATAATTGTTATGGCAAGCGCGATGGCTAACTATAAAATATATTATATATAGATATGAGCAAGATTTCATTTGATATGTGGTGGGAGAAAGATGTGTCATCTTCTGACGGTACAGCTTACCGCTTAATATGCGTAGGGGCAAAGTTCAGTCATAGATTCAGTGATCTATAGTAAAATAAAAATAAAAAGATCAAAAATACTTTCTTACTAGATTTACGCGCATATTTGACATTTTAAAATAAAACTATCTTTTCGGATTATTTCGCGGATATATTTAGATTTTTGGTTGCCGACGTTTCGAATGCTTTACAGCAATAATGGTCATGGGAGAGACTAAGGTTTTAGATGTCTCAAAGGTAATTAGGTATATAGTTCTTGCAAGCAACACATACAGCCCAGTGTAAAATCATGTTAGAATATTTTACGTATTTTAGTCGCAGTTAGTATTTACAGAATTGCCGACCGACACTA